GTCCGCCTGCTGCCGGGGCGCCGATGCCTCCCACCGCTCCCGCCTTGGTTTTCGGCTCATGGGGCACCCCCAAAGCCTTCGCTAACAAATAAAACAAGGCTGCTGGGGCAACATCGATTGAAACCTGCGGCGTTAAACCACGCCTTTCTCTGTGCATCCTGCTAGTAACACCTTGAGGTTACTGACAAAACACAGAACGCACTTTAAAAGGCACTTGCTGATTGTTTACTGTTTGCGTTTCTCAGCTTTGGCAGAGTGAGCCAGTTTCACTTTCAGTTCGCAGTACTGCAGCCCTTCAAACGGGAGTGGATACTTATTTCAAGTGTACATAAGCAAAATAGTAAGTTTAAGCTAGAGTCAGAAAGCAGTTCTGATACATTAAATTAGGCTTGCTTTTAAAGGGGCTTTGCTGGTTGATTTCTGTGGAAAAAAATGTTTATGGATGAGGTAGAGTCTGAACACAGTGTTACAATATGGTGAAAATAAGGCTTATACTTTGTTTAGTATCAACACATTCTTTTACTCAACAGTTTTGCAGTTTTTATTTACACCCTCCAACAATGTGAATTTACCTAGATTGTAGTTCAAGACTAGAACCTAGACTAGGTCATACATGTAGCTCTGCAAACTCCTTGTCAGAGGCCCATGTGCTCATTTCAGTGATTTGAGTGGGACTGTACTTAAGTGAAACAGTCTCCAGGGGTAAGATTTAGTTTATTCTCATAGTTGAAGGTGAGAGATAGCAGAAGGCAGCAAGGACAGAACATAAATCTTGCAAAGTAAAATAGATTTTAAAAAGCAACTTCGCTGCTGAGTTCAACAAGAAATTGTACTGATTTAATTCACCATAAGATTTTATTTAGATTTTGTTCAGTGACTTTTCATACGGGTGGATTTGTGCTTCCATAGGAGCCATGTGCATCCAGGCATTTTTTTCAACATGCATTCCTCACAGAAATATGTATTTTCTGACTGTTTTTTCCTCTCTAGGTTCTTTGTCTCCCCTTTATGCCTGAAAAATACTTCAATTCACTTGTCTGGTTTTGGTCAAGTTTGACAGCAGAGCTTGAATCGCAAAGATAATTTCTTACAAGTTTTGTGAAGATTGATGGCCATGGAAAGGAGAGGGGCTTAAATTAGTATCCCCAATAAAGAATAGGCAGTTACATTTGCTACTCTCTCTGTTCAGGAGGCATCAAACAATCTAGCAATGATAGCTTTTGGTGATTATTACTAGCAATGTCATGTGCTAGCAGTGTTATGCATTATTTGATTTGCTGTCGTTACCAAAGACGAGGTAAAGATGCTTCTCTACTCTGCAGTCACAGTTCCCTGGGAAAGGGATATGGGAATGGTAAGCCAGAGACAGCATAATGGTTCATGAATTTTAAGCGTCTGTTACGATTACAGTTTCAGAACTCTGTCATATATGTGCTGAAAAATCCACAAGTTCCATCTGTTTCAATTTGAAGTTCCATACAAAAATGTTTGGATACTAATAAATATTACATTTTCAGACTAGGAGACCATGCAAGGCTTTGTCATTGCTTGAAATTTTTGCCAAGGATCTGGCTAAAAGCCAGGGACCTGAGGCTTCTGAGTTGCCATCCAATCATTGACCAGCTGGAGTAACCAAAGCTTTTTAAACCTGGGTGCAGAACATTACCTAAACAAGGCTTTATGCTATGCAGGTGCACAGCCTGAAAAACAGCCAAAAAGAACTGGTTTTCCAGAGTGCCTTTCTTATGGACAGGCTCTGTGTTCCTTGCAAGTAGTACAAAAAGTGGGATTAGGTCTCTTAATTTAAGGTGCTCAGTTGTGGTTCTCTATAGTAGTGTGTGGGGAGAAGCAGGTACTGCTAGAGAACATGTCATTCCTTCTGCCTGTCTGAGTGTCTAAGATAGTGTTAGAGATGTGCTTTTTCTTTTTCATACACAATGTGTAAAATTGTCAAAAGATGTATTAAAATATTTTTTCCTAATTTTTGTTTGTTCCTGTATCAGTATTAGTGGGGCTAATAGGCTTAGAAGACTGAAAACAAAGGGTCTTCACAACATCTTGCATCTACAGGATTTTGGCTCTGCACTGATGTCAGTTCAGAGTTTGAGCAACATAATCCCACTACTTTTATAATAATAATAATAATAGTTTGTGAAATAAGGCAAGATGGAGGAGAGATTTAAGGCTGCTACAAAAAAAAAAAAAAAAAGTGGAAATGTAGTTTAAATGCAGGTTACAGAAGGCAGAAGTCACCAGCCATGAATATTGCTGATCTCTTAGAATTGGAGAAAAAGAGAATGCAGGGACCAAACCCTCATTGCAGGTTAATTTACATATATATATATATCATATTTGTTCTAAACTAAAGTCTAGTAACAATTAGATTAAATGAGGGCATAAGAACTTTTTTGCTTTATTATCTAGCATTCTGTTGTTCATGCAGCGTCGGGACAAAAGGTCGGCTAGATGAACTGCCATAGCCACTACTTCTAGAGGCTGATTTTCATGCTCAGGGCTACTGTAGTGAAATATATTTGCTCTTACCTGACATGAATATAGTAGTCTTCATCTGAACGCTGTTTAAGAGACCACATGTGGCTGTATCTCTAGCATAGGACCTTATGGAAAGTCAGTTGGTTTGACTGATGGGAGTACAACTTGTGATAGTGACTTACGTGTCTGATAATTTGGCTAGAACAAATTCCCTTCTGTCTTATTGTAATGCTTCATTTTTCTGATAGCAGACTGTTTTCTTCAAGCTATGAGGCTTTATCTTCTGCTTTTAGTAATAATAGTTTCTCCCATTAGGGCTGCCTGCAAGCTTGCTGTAAAGTATCTCTAGCTTTAGTATAAGAGTGGATATGGGGAACGTGCCTAGTTACGTCTAGACACAGGTTAGCCCTCTCTGGGGAGAAGCCGAGACAGATGTTTGTGTATAGCTTACAAGGAATATCTCATGGAGGAAAATGGTGTCTTCAAACAAGCAATCTTGGAAGGGGACAGAAATCAAACGCATTATGTTCTGTGCTTTCAGACCAAAGGCTAAGTCTTGAAAACATGATTCCTGCAACTGTTCACACTGTCCTGAGTGCTCTATATTTATGCTGCCACAGAAAGAACTGGTTACACTCGGAGGAGAAACGCAAGAAACACTAAGGACTGAAATGCGCTTGCAGCTAAAGTATCCTCATCATGAATAGGTACACAACTATAAGACAGCTTGGTGATGGGACCTACGGCTCTGTTCTCCTAGGGAGAAGCATTGAATCTGGAGAGCTAATAGCCATTAAAAAGTAAGTACTTTATTTGTTACTTAACAATGGATGGTCCACGTTTTTCCATTCTATGCTCCACATCACTTGGTTGTGCTGGTTTGAATACTTAACTTTCCACACAGCATTTGTATTTGAAGTTGTATTGGGGGCAGCATGCAAAGCTCAAGTTCCTTTTATCCTCCAAAGCCCCAGCAGAAGATAAAGAAGGTGAGATATATAGCCTTATTGTGACAGTGTTCTGCTACTCTATGCAGTCAAATGTCTATTATGTGTATAATTTAGAGTATTCTGCAATGCTGCTTTGGAATCTGCAGCCCTTTCCCTGCTGCTTACATGGAACACAGATTACATGGTCTGATTTCCAGTGTAATGTTAATTCTGCAGTAATAATTAACACAATGGATCTCATTGTACGTTTTCGGTATCTTTATGAGCTATTACGTGTTGGTCTTTTCAGCTTGAGAGTTTCTTGAAATTCCTTGAGAAATCTGCTTGATTTTCTCTGCCACTTCTGTAGTGACCTCAGTTTGTAAATGGCTTATTTGTCCTAGTTCTGGTAAGAGACAGCTGTAAAGCATTGCAGGCACCTTCCTGAAATACCAACCATGACCCAGGACATACTTGTCAAAAGAGCCTTCAGTACAATGCTGGTTTGTATGAACAGTCAATAGCTAGCTTTAGCAACTTTCTAAATCCTCTGTGCTCAGGGTATTTTTCCTGTACCTTGCCAGAGAGAGCTTTGATTTTCATTTTGTAACATGGTAGAAACTCAGACATTTCAGAACAAACCAGAAGATGGTACTTTCTTAGCTTACACGTTAATGCCAATCCATTATTAAGACCAGAAATGGCCTGGTGGCTGAACGCACAAGGCAGTAACTGCAAAAACACTGCTTAAAAAAAAAAAATATCCACAGAATGAAGGACTTGTAGTTCTTAAACTATTGTAATTTAAGAGCTGATTTCAAACTGGAAACTTGGTACAATAATAAGTAATACTGAGAAATAATAATAATAATTGAATCAGATCTTCAAAGGGTGCCTAATTCTCTCTGAAATAGAGACTTGAAGCAGTTGGGTATATTTGTAAATGTAATCTGTGCTTTTCTGTGTATATGTGAGCTTTCATCCTGTTTGTACTAAAGCATATAGTTATATATGAAAGAATGAGTCATAATCAAAATGCTTATGAACAAATAGGACCATATGTTACACACAAATACATACTCAGATTTCTGGTTTAGGAGAAAACAGAACTGCCATGCAGTTTGTTTCTGTTAGAGCAGAGTTGCTTATAAGCTTGAAAGAAAGGCAGAATTCAAAAACCACTTGGCATGATAGTTGCAGTTTGCAAAGGTGAGAGAAATACGGGGACTGGTGGACACTGAAAAATGAAGAAATAAAACTTAGAGGGGGAAGGTATTAAAATTACAGGGAAATTAAAATACAGAGAAGCAGCAAGAAGAATATGATAAAAATTGGAGACCCAGTGAAGTGATTTAATTTGGTCTTCATTAGAGTTGTTTCAAAATTTAGTCTGAGTTGTTCATAACTGTCATAACCTTTACTCTTTTTACAATTAGACTGTACTCCACCACACTGTATACTGGAAAGAAAAATAGCATGCCATGACTTGTTGAAGGCTCTGAATTTTTTTGCAGCAAGATATATATATATATATACATATATATATATAGAGAGAGAGAGAGAGAGATGAAAAAAGGCAATCCTGTGTAACAGTAATACTTTTAAAGAGTGTGCTTTGTCTAGAGATGTAAAGTTTTTTGACAAAGGAGATCCCACCATATATTTTGATGTAAGAACTGAATTGTTAAGTTTTAATGAGACTTACAGGTCTGATGTTGACCATGTATTAATCGTTTTTTTCCCTTCTACTATTGTAGAATGAAGAGAAAGTTTTATTCCTGGGAGGAATGCATGAACCTTCGAGAGGTTAAGGTACTTGTTTAATTCAATGATTAACTTCAGATTAGACAATCCCCGTCACATTTTGGGATAGCATCAAATTCTTTGCATCCCTTTTATCAAAAACTCCCCCCAACATAAGCTATGGCATATGGCATTGCAGTTCTGTTTCCTGGCTCTGCATTTGAACTGTAGTCTTACAGATTCTTAAAATTCTGTAGTCATACAAAAAATAATTTCCTCCTTGAAGTGAGTGGTGTGTAAGAGAGCTTTGATATCATAAAACCTGGAGTTGATTGGTGTTTGTTTTTATGAGCTTGAGAACACGTGCCCTTTGCACAGCAGTAACCTTTGTACATGCAGTTGTTTCTGGATAGCTGGTTTGGGGGCAGACATTTAATATGAAATTCTGACATCAGCAAAGCTTTAGGGGTATGTTCGAAGGACCTCCCTTAATTTCTAGTCCTTGCTATTGCTGTTGCAAACATGCAGAAAACCTAGTTCACTTTTCTTACAGTACTGCCTATTGGTTGCTGTGTTGCTACAGCAAGAATGAATGTAGAATACATGGAAATGTTGAAAAGGAGAATGAAGACCCAAGTATGCTGGTTTTGGCTAGGATAGAGTTAATTTTCTTCACAGCATCTTGTATGGATCTACATTTTAGATTACTCACCAAAACAGTGTTGATAACACAGGGTGTTTTAGTTATTGCTTAGCAGTGCTTGCACAACCTCAAGCATTTTCTGTTTTTCATGCTTCCCTGCCAGCAAGTAGTCTGAAGCTGGGCAAGAGGCTGGGAGGGGACACAGCCAGGACAGCAGAACAGAGGGACATCCCATATGACATTGTGCTCAGCAATAAAAGCTAGGGAAAGGAGGAGGAAGAGACGACAGTCAGAGTGATGGCATTTGTCTTCCCAAGTAACCATTATGCGTGCTGGAGCCCTGCTTTCCTGGAGAGGGCCGAACACCTGTCTGCTGATGGGAAGCAGTGAATGAATTCCTTGTTTTGCTTCGTTTGCATATGCAGTTTTTGCTTTACCTATTAAATTGTTTTTGGCTCAACTCAAGAGTTTTCTCAGTTTGTGCCATTCCGATTCTCTCCCCCCTCCCACTGGAGGGGATGAGTGAGCTCAGCTGCCCACCAGGGTTAATCCACAATACCAAGGAAGTTTCCAGGGTTATATTTACTCCTGAGTCTAACCTGACTATTGCCAGTGCAAGTACAACAAGAGTGTGAATTCTGCCAGTAGGAAGTTACTTACAGAGAGAACGCAACTGTTTTGGCTCGTACTATGATGCCAGATAGCTGGCTTTTGAACAACCAGCACATTAAATTAATATGTATGCTATCTATCTATCTATCTATCTATCTATCTATCTATCTGTACTTGGAGGTTTGGTCTTTGTTCTCAGAGCTGTCTGATTATTTAAAATTTTGAAGAGATTTTGAAGCCAACTCTGCCTTGGTGAAATAGGGTTTTTTTTGTTGTCATTAGAGTAAGACCCTTGTAATATCTTGTTTGTATTTTCTGTTTCTAGTCTTTGAAGAAATTAAACCATGCCAATGTCGTAAAGCTGAAAGAAGTTATTAGGGAAAATGATCATCTGTATTTTGTGTTTGAATACATGAAGGAAAATCTTTATCAGTTAATGAAAGAAAGGTATGTAACAGCATCACCGATTCTTGATACCAATCAATTACTTGAATAATGTGCTTTTAGCACCCCTGTTACTTTTCAGAGGACTTTGGATCATTTGTTTAGGCTTAGATCACTATGGCTTAAAGCTGTATGCTGCAGTAGGAGCTGTAGCTGTCACCTTTGAGCATATCCCAGACAGTTTAGTGAGAGTTTCCAGTGTCTCTTTGCAGATTAGCCTGGTAGATAAGCAGGCCACTCTTTGAGAGTTAGGAACTGTGGACTTTTAACAGCCCTCACCTGAGAAGGCATTGAATCTAGAACTTCAGATTTCTAGCTAAGTACTCCAACCAGCAGTGCTTTTCCTATTAGAGGGTGGTATCACCACCTCTTCTATTATGGCTTCCTCATATAAATGAATAAATAAAAAGTGGTTGAAATAGTAATCATGATGGGTCAAATTCTGGATGGCTTCTAGGAATTATTTTTTTGCCTTGCAATTCCAATGGACAAATCCAAAGACTGCCTGTTTTATTCATTAGCATTCCTACTGCAATACAATCTAGCTTTTAGATATTTACTGGAGCATTAGTGAAGTCTTAATTTTAGCCTTTGGGCCATGATAGCATCCTCTAGAGGATAATTTGCAGCAAAATAGCTCCCTGCTTTGAATTGTTCTCCGAGGAGGCTGTTTTCTTTCTATGGACCATAGAACTTAGCTTGAGAGATGACAGTAATCTTACTTGATTTAACAAAGTAAGGTTATTGTTATAACAGATCTCTGTGAATACTACAGAAAATACCTTTTTTAAGCATAAAAATATTTATTATGCATGCACAGCTATAGAACAACTTTGACTAAAATGGGTGCATGTATATGGATGCTGATTTTTAATGATACAAAATGATGAACCTTGAGAAAATGGTTCAGGTGCATGACTTATCTTCAGGAGTTTCTTAGAAATGCTTGATATATCCAGCCTTCTTATGAAAACAAAAAGGGCAGTTTTCTGTAAAAGTGTGCTACACATCATATTCTCTATGGTTTAATTAGGCCTTGGGTTGGTTAGACATTGTCTAAATCAAATGTTTAAGAATGTGATTTATTTGCTTAAGTCAGTTAAAATTGCCAGTCTTGCTGGAAGGGACTCTAGAGGAAGTATGACTCCTTCTGCCTGTAATTAAAAAAATAAGCAGATAAGAGAAGCTGACTCTAGTACTTATCTCACTTCTGAAGTATGTGATGGTCAGGTTTTTTTGAGAGGAATCAAGCTCAGGAAAATGAATAAGGCCCTTCTTCATTTGCTGTTCAGCTCTTTCTGAATAAAATTGTCACTGATTTCCACCCCAGCTCTACTGTGTTTTGGCATGCGCAGAGGCAGCTGGTGCAGAGCAGTTTGATCAGAATCCTCTCTTGGTAAGAGAGGCTATCAATATGCTGCCTGTCATGGCTCATCTTCTCACCTGAATATCATGAGAAGAGCCTCTTGTTTTCAGTGGTAGCAGATGAGACTGTTTTTTCAGATAACAGAAGAAAAGGAAGTAGCACATCAGCTGTTAAATAATAACAAGGGAAAGTCATGAGTAAGGCTTGTATATGCTCTAAAAGAGAGGCCAGAAGAAACTGTACGTGAAAAGCACTAAATTAACATGAGCTCTTGCTGTCTTGAGTGTGCCTCACAACCTGTATGTGTTAAGGTTTGTTCAGTTTGGCCAATTTTGTTTGGGTTTTTCTTTCCCCCCCCCCCTTTTTTTTAATTTGCTGTCCCATATAGTCTACATATGATGCCACATATTCTTAATATGGCAGTTCTGAAAATACTACATGAGACTGCTTAAAATGTATCTAGCAATTTTATTGTCATTGTTACTTTTGTCTTTGGTTCATTAGACAGCATAAACTAATGTGTGAACTTAATATTTATGTCTTCTCTTTTCTTTTATCCCATAGAAACAAACTGTTTCCTGAGTCTACAGTTAGGAATATTATGTATCAGATCCTGCAAGGACTTGCATTTATCCATAAGAATGGTGAGTTATGGTTTTTAGCAGTAAACATTTTGAATTAGAGCAAGATAGTGTCTGTGTAACTTTTTTAATGAGTACACTAACAATTATATTACTAACTTTAAGTAAAGGAAGTAATCAAAAGAATGGCACTATATGAGAGATTCAGATTACTGAAAATATTCATATTGTACAGTTGCCTTATATTTTAGTCTGGAGGTTTACTTAGTTCCTTTTCTGTAGATTTCTACTTTTTCAAACTAGCAGCTGACCACTTTGAGACTCATCTGATGTTAATGGACTCATTTCTTCATAGATTTAGAGGTCCCCTGAGATTGGGAATAAAGGAAAAATTACTCTTCTCTCAAGGTACACACAGATACCTGAATAAAATGCACATTCTCTGTAATATATACTTAACGTAATAATGTCTGAGTGCCAAACAACTTTCATTGCATGGCCTTTCAACTCATTTTTACAATAATGGTAAAAGCTAAAGCTGTGTACCAGCCAGTAGTAACAAGACCCACTTAACTAATAAAAAATACTATTTTAATGATAACTTCCTCACCATGTTTTTTTTCCCCCTACAATTCTGCCTGCTAAATACACTGTAGTATATGTTGCTGGTCAGCTCTTAGCAGAAGAGAACTAACATCAGTGGCCAAAGTCCTGGAAATGAAAGACTTGTAGCACCAGCATTTCAGTTCAGTTGAACACATTTAATTTTGTTTTTCAAAACATTTTCAAGCCAATGGCTTTATTCTCTGTTCTAATGGGGCTTGGATACTCTTCTGAAATCAAACTAGAAATTCTAGTCTGTTCCAGTGTGATAAAAAATATTTAAAACCAGAAAAATAATATTATTTATTTGCAAAAATCTAAGCCACCTTTTTTTTTTAATAAATTGTCAAATGGATCACAACCTTTCAGAATACATTTTACTGCTATTTAACTTACTATAGCTATAAAGAATTATGTGTTGAAACTGTCTTGTTCACTGACTTGCTACACACTAGACTGATACTTCTGCCAAGATGTTGCAAATCTGTGGTATCAAAGATCAAGGAATTTATAGCAAGCCTGACAGGATGGTCTTGATGGTCTTGTGGCTCACAGTGTAAGACTGGGTGTCCCAAGATTTTCTCTGCAACAGTTTCGGAAGAATTGCATGGACTTCTTTCCCCTTTCTTATTTCTCTATTTTGCACCTGTGTGTCATAGAAATGCTTGTCAAATAAACTTTTTATGTTCTTTGCCCATCCAAACTCTAAGCATCTTTTAAAAATTTGCCATGAAATAAATTGCCTCGGAAGCATTCTGTGTGTGCATTGCATGTCTGTACAGCAAAACATGGAAGTGATTGTACTAAATGCTGAAAACAACCTTGATTGCTCTGTCTGGTACCTTCTGTAAAGAAGCAGTAGTTCAAGCTGGCACCAGAACATCTACTGAATATCCCTAGGAAGGATGTAATCTGCTGGTTGATAGAAATTTACAGCACTATGTCTTCATTGCTGTTACACGTTAATCTATCAAACAAGGTATAGTTATACTGGACTATGTAGGTACATCCTATGTGAATGTTTATTCTGTTCTCTGTGGGAGCATGTTCATGGCCATGGAGAAAACTAAGCATGTTGGAATGTCTGAAAAGCAGATTGTAGAGCTCTAGTAAGATATTACAGAGGGAGCTGTATATAGGAAACAGTGGTCTTAGATGCCGGCAAGAAAAAAACATAAGGACAAGTTTTCCAGTCGAAGGGTGGAAGCAAATTTCAGAAGCAGTAGTCAGTAATATTCTAGCCCTCTCCTCTCATCTGCATTGAAAGAGCTCTTGCCAAATGCTCATTTGTGATAAAGTTTTGCTGAATGCAGAGAGCACTAAAAAAAATACACTGAGATCCCCTATGTGATAGGGCAATGAATAACAGTGCTTGCAGTTTATTATGTCCTCAGATTTAAAAAAGAAGATTCAAAGTGAAATTAATTTATATTCTTTTTAAAAGAACTTTTGAAGTATTTTTTTATGTCTTCATTGCACAGTTTTGAACACAATTAGAATGAAACTAATGTTAAAATGGTGTATTTTTTTTTTTATGTTAAAGAAGTGTCACTTGAAAGGGAGCTATCTGACTGAATGCTCTGAACTGTCAGTCTGACTGAAGAACCATTATACTGACTAGCTTTGTTGATCATATAAGACTTTGAACTCTGTGTTGTGCTATTCAAGCTTAGTAAGAACTAAGGCGAAACAATGCAGATGGAAAATAAAGACTACAGCTGGAGATGGCATTGCAATGCACATCAGTATTTCATTTGAATTTTAGGGTTCTTTCATAGAGACTTGAAACCTGAAAACCTCCTTTGTATGGGACCAGAACTTGTGAAAATAGCAGACTTTGGCTTAGCCCGAGAAATCCGATCTAGACCTCCTTACACCGATTATGTATCCACAAGATGGTAAGTGCTAGTATTCACCTACATTGTGTGGAACTTATAATCAAGCCTTTAAAGTAGTAAAGTATTAAATTACTGCTGAATGTAATGCCACTGTTGATACCTCCTCTTTATAAAACTTTTATTTAAGCTTGGCATAGTTTGAAAAGCTTCAGTTAGTGCAAGATGGTTTACAGGGGGCAGCAACATAGATAAAAAGAGGGAGCCTGATAAGAGGGGTGGGACATGCTAGTTTTGCTGCTTGTCAGGAATAAGAAAGCTTAAAGAGCTTATGTAGGTTTTAATTCTTCATTCTAGAAAAAAAAAATTATATATAGGATAGGGGAGGATAGCAGCTTTTTAAAGGGATGTTTGCTCTTAACAGCAAAGAATGAAGGGCTGAATGGTTTGTTGTATGTCTGTTTGAATTGTGTTGATTGTTGGGATTTTTTTTTTTTTCCTCTTACAGGTACAGGGCTCCTGAAGTCCTTCTGAGATCCACCAGCTATAGTTCTCCAATAGACATTTGGGCTGTTGGTTGTATAATGGCAGAAGTTTACACACTGAGGCCTCTCTTCCCAGGCGCCAGTGAGATTGATACTATATTCAAAATTTGTCAAGTCCTGGGAACACCAAAGAAGGTAGTTAAAGTGACATTCCACACTGCAATAATGCTAGAGGTGTTCTGCAATACAGAATGGCACACACTTGCTGCTGTTGTATGGTGTTGATCTCAGATACAGTAAACTAAATTAAAACTTACTTTCTGTGAAATAAGCATTATGTAATTGTGCTATAAAACCTGACATTTAGAAGAGAAATAGACCCCTGAACAGCAAACAAAGTCAATTAGACTGCAATTTCATTAGGCAGAAATTTCATTTTCTTTTGCATGTTGTGAATAAACCTGTGGTTTTAGAGGCTGGAAATTGGAATCATGACAACACTTTTATCTCCTGATTCCATTTGTGCCTTTGACATGCTCAGATGTAGAGCAAGACTTACCTATCACCAGAGGTTTGAGGTGAAAATTTCTAGTGAAATCTTTAATGTAGTCTAGAGTAACCTGGACACAGTCTGTTATTGGTAGAATAGATGCTAGTGTATTTAGGCACTATGATATTTTACAGCTGAACTTTATCTGTAATTGGAAATCTCATTCTTCCAGAACGACTGGCCTGAAGGCTACCAACTTTCAGCCTCCATGAATTTTCGCTGGCCTCAGTGTGTACCTAACAACTTAAAAACCCTCATACCTAATGCTAGCAGTGAAGCAGTGCAGCTCATGAGAGACATGCTGCAGTGGGACCCCAAAAAACGACCAACAGCTAGTCAGGTTTGGTTTTGTTTTCTTTTTCTCACATCTGTATATGATGCTTCCTTTTGGTGCAAGACACCTTTTATAGACAGTCATTTAACGGTTGCTCAGGGGTGCAGTTCTTAGAAGGGAGAAGAGCAGAAGCCAAGAATGATTTGCAAGACAGAGGGGAGTAATTAAAGAGAGTAGTGAATCTTCTGCATGCAACATCAACTGCATGGGGTGTGTGTTCAGTGATCAAATGTGTGACTGCAGTGTGTGGATGTACACCTGAATTAAGTGTAATACAGTCACTGAATAGCAGCATAATGAAGGTAGGATGTACAGCTGAAGGTTGTGATGCCGTGCTTTCATTGCTGTTGATACATGCCACCGATTCACAGGAAGGTTAAGGTTGTAAGGGGCATTTGGAGGTCATCTGGTCCAACTGCCCTGCCCTAGGCAACATGTCTTGGTGCTCAGTCACCCTCACAGTAAAAAAGTGTTTCCTGATGTTCAGAGGGAACCTCCTGTGTTTCAGTTTGTGCCCATTGCTTCTGGCCTTGTCACTGGGCATCACTGAAAAGAGCCTCGCTCCATCTTCTTTGCACCCTCCCTTCAGGTATTTGCATACTTTGATAAGATCTCCCTGAACCATCTCTTGTCCAGGCTGAACAGTCCAAGCTCCCTTAGTCCTTTGTCATATGTAATATGCTCTGGTCCCTTAATCATCTTCATGGCCCTTTGCTGGACTCTCTCTATGATGTCCATGTCTCTCTTCTGCTGCGAAGCCCAAAACTGGACACAGCACTCCAGGTGTGGCCTCACCAGTGCTGAGCAAAGGGGAAGGATCCCTGCCCTTGACCTACTGGCAACACTCCTGCTTGTGCAGCCCAGGACCATTAGCCTTATTTGCAGCAAGGGCATATTGGTAGCTCATGTTCAGCCTGGTGTCTACTAGGTCCTTTCCTGCAAAGCTGCTTTCCAGGTAGTCAACCCCAGCATGTACTGGTGCATGATGTTGTTCCTCCCCAAGTGCAGGACTTTGCACTTCTCCTTGTTGAGCTTCATGAAGTTCCTGTCAGCTCATTTCTCCAGCCAGTCAAGGTCCCTCTGGATGGCAACATGACCCTATGGCGTATCAGCCACTCCTTCCAGTTTTGTGTCATCGGCAAACATGCACTTGCACTCTGCACTACCATCGACATAATTAATGGAGATATTCAACAGTATCTGACCCAGTATTGACCTCTCAGATATACCGATGCCTTCTGGCCTCCAACCAGACTATGTTCCACTAATCACCACCCTCCAGGCCTGGCCAGTCAGCTTGCTTTCAGTCTACCTTAATGTTTGCTCATCCAGCCCAGCATTGCTTGGATAAGCCAGTTTATACAAGGCAGTGTGCAGGGCAGTCTCAGCTCACTTAATATGTCCCAACATCCTGTACATAAGCATAGCACAAGTCATCAGTGTTGCCTATATAATGGTCTAGTTGATGTTGTTGACAGTAGCCACTGATTTCAGGTACTGTGGTAGCACCTAATTAATGAAATGAGCAGGGCACCTTTTGAAAAACGGATGTGGTTCTGGGTTAAAATCTAACTTGACTTCAATAGGACCATAGCTGAACCTTTGTCATTATATCAGGCCTTCAGTGCAAATTGTAATAAAAAACTTTAAAGCTAATTAAAGCAGTTAAAAAAGTAAAACAGATTAAGAACTCGCAAAGGTAATGAAAATCAAAAAGTAGTGACTGTAATTTGGTATTAAGAGTCATTAGAAAATGTTTGACAATAAGGTACAAATATGGTGAGGAATTTGAGTTTTTGGATGCTTTTTGCAGTGAGAGGTCTTTGAGAAGGGAAGATAAGTATACCTGAAACAGCAAAATGAGCAGAGATAAGTTGCCTTTACTGATAACTCCTTAATTACTTGTAAGGCAGGATAAAGATATTTTTACCAACGTGTCTTCCAAAAAAGAGAGAAGCTAATTTTCATAAGAGTTATATTTCTTTCACTTGATTTGGTCTTGGAACTGGAGAGTGGAAAGGATGGGATGTCTCTGGGGTCATTCAAGTTTTGATGGCTGAATTTGTGATGACAGGTGTGCACGTGTTTGCACATGTGTCTGGACACACACATGAAGAGACAGCACATAATGAAACATGTCTCTAGATGTCATATACCTGGTTAAGTATCTTACTTCTGCAGATCCTTTTCCTTTTGTGCAAGTTCACAGAAGATTTGATAACTTGATATCTGTTGAAACTTTTCTACTATTGCAGCATTAATCTGAAGTAGATTGTGCTCACTAGAATCTAGTGTCTCAACAGATGGGTCTTCTGTTGTTTCCCACTCCAGAGAAAAGGAAATTAAATTTGTACCATCACATAGGGCTAGGGTAAGTTAACTTTGTTTTCCTAAGTTGGATCCTAACATTTTCGTTATGTTTTAGGCACTTCGATATCCGTATTTCCAGGTTGGGCATGCCCTGGGTGTTCAGGAACTGGTGAGGCAAAAGGAACTGCATAATAAATCGTCTCTGCATATTAAGCCTGTTCCTCCAGCACAACCCCCTCCGAAACCTCATGCCCGCATTTCGTCAAGGACTTTTCAACAAAATCAGTCTTCTCAGCCCTTGGTGTACCCATATAAGACAGACAACTCTGGGACTGAGCACAGTAACTACTTACAGGAGGACAAGTCTAACCAGGTTCTTCTGCCTGCAATTCACAATAAGATTCCTCAGCAGGTAAAGGTCCATCTAGGATAAGATACACTTCCTGATATACTACCTTATTTTTCCTTAAATGTTTGGAAATATAATGCCTTCTTGTTCTCTTCCAAGGTTCTTATACTTTACTAAATGGTTAGGAAATGGGAATAAAGAATAGTTAAAACTTTCTGCTAGAAAGTGGAAGTTACTCTGTTGAAATCTAAATCCAGTTGCTATAAAATGAACAAATCGAGTTCTCATTTCAAAGCCATTTTATACTTCCCTTTGTTGTAAAGCACCACTTAAAGGATGACACTGTGATTTCATACAATAAAAAGGATGTACAGTTGTCAGAATATTAATGGAGTTGATGTCAGAGACAAAAGTACCAAGCTAAATAGTATTCAGATGAGGGGGAGGGGGCTATTGCCTTCATCTATTTAAGGCATCCACTTTATGTGTCTGGAAGTAATAGTCCCTTCAGGCTTCTATACCAGCCATAGAAAACAGCATATTCTTTTTTCAGCATATGCCCCTACCATTTTTCTTGATTATACAAGGAGACTGACTTCACAAGGTAGGTGACAAGAGCAGACAGTGTGAATGCTGCTGCTAAGAGATCGATTGGTCTTAAGTAGGGTCTGTACTGGCCATATACAGAGTTGCACAAAGTTGAAATGCTCTGATGGGCTTAAATGGCTGAAGAGACACAAATTTGTACCTATGCTGTACTGCAAGAAAAACGGGTTTTATAAATGTCTAAGCACAGGCTTGTGGAAACATGCATGCATGCAGTTTTGTGCTCCTAAGATGGGTCAAGAAATAAAAATTGAGTGTGATCTTGTTTGGGAGGTGTATACTGAAATATAAATAGGATTGAAGTAGAGACCTAAGAAGCTTACTCTTCTTTCAGTGCAAGATACTTTATTACAGGATGAAACACAGAAGATATGTATTAATGTCTCCAGGCTACAGATTGTGTTCTTAGCATGTTTAATGAAAGGTTAGGATTCTGTTGTTACAGCTCTACCACCACTATTACTTTTTGAGACAGGAGAAAAAAGTCTTTTTTTTGTCCTGTTACCTGGTTTATAGTGTAAGTGCATGGGTTTGTTTCTCTTCAATCTTTATAACAGAAAACATCTGCTGGGACTGAGAATATAAATGGTGAACTAAAACCAAAACCTAGGCGAAGATGGGGACATCTTGCTAAAACAGTGAAGAGTTCTGAAGACTGGGATGACTTGGAAGACCTTGATTTCAGCTCTTCCATCATGAGGATGGACTTGAAAACCAAAAAGAGGCAGACTGATGAAACTCTTTGTAGGTAAGTTGGTTTCTTTTATGTCCCTGTGCTATTTGGTTTTTTAAAGGCTTCCCCTCTTTTCATAATGTTGCTCTTTATGTTTTCTATGGATCTAGAAACATATATCCAGGCTGGTAAAGGACATGCAGCTTGTTCCTCTCCTGCTTTGACTTGGCTGCTTATTGAATGCTGACCTTTGAATTGCCACACATTTTTTGATGGACAGTGTTAATGTTGTTAATTTTTCCCCACTGAAAATGATACTTTGCTTAAGTCTTCCCAAGTTAATCTTTGAATATATACTTTGTTTTACATACAAACCATATTGACATCTTCCACACTTACGAGCTGTTTTGAGTGACTCTAAGCTGCAGTTTCCATGGATCATACAGCAGATAAACATTTACTGAGTGATTTATGCAAACTTTGAAAGCAATATATAGGGGAACTAGAAGTGCAGATCTGATTTTCAGGGGCACTTGTATGGCTTCAGGCTGAAAATATTCCCTGTTGTCTGTTTATGCTGTAGCAAACACAGTAAGAGGAGATGATTCCTGGAGATGATACAGAGTTGAAAAGGCCAACTGTGGATAAACATATGCTATAAGAATTTGACTAAGTGTAGCAATTCTTGGGTTATAGATTTGAAAGCATTTTGGACCTGAAGCCTTCGGATGCTGTAGGCTCTGGCAGTAGTGCACCTTCCCATGCAACCTTTCCACGACAGGACACTCCCACATTGAGAGTTTCTGCAGCAAAGCAACACTACTTGAGACATTCTAGGTATCTACCTGGTTAGTAAAAAATACTTCTTTTTCTTCCTGTAATTCCAACAGCAGTGTGAAATAATCATTGGTACATTATGCTTTATCCTTTGAGTTTGTGGAGGGGGACTGCTGTTTAAAGAAAATGAGGAGAGATGATCATGATACAAACTACATTTTAGCAGTCTAGCAGCTGAGATAAATCCTGCTTACAAGAAGGGGACAGGATTGATGGTACTTCTTCCTGCTGGATACTCTTTTATATTTTAAAGCATGTTAGAAAATGTCTGTTAATGTGACAAGCTATTCCCTGTTTCCCTAAGAAGGAAAAGACTGGTGTTCTAGACTGGAGAAGAAAGTGCCCTATGTTTACCTCAGGTATATAATACCATGAACAACAGAAGCTAACTAATACTGGGAATATACTTTCCTGTAGCTTGGAGTTAAATAGAATGCAGATCCATGTCTCTGTGGAGGAATTGCATGCCTATCTTCGTGTTAACCTCTCCTATACTGACCAGCATTGGTTCAGGATGAAGTACAGGAGGTGGACAGCATGTCTGCCTGTACTTAAAATGAGCTGAATATAAATCTTTCATAATTTCTATTTATAAAGGCCGTGTTAGCTGTTCATTTGCTCATAGTACTTATACTAGCCATAGTATTCCTGTATGAGAGGCTGGGAAGTCACCTGGAGGCATGTTAAGAGTGGTTTTTGTTAAGTTCACTGAACTGGACATTTGCTCCAAGATTGTGCATCAGGTAGAATGAATGCAAGCCAGTGTAACAGCAAAGGTTTCAGTGTGGTAATTTTTGCATTTTTGCAATAGGAATAAGCACAAGAAATAGCATAGTCTCCACTTCAAACAAAGAGTCTGTTCCATCTAACTCCTGGCCCAGTTCTGGTTTGCCTGGGAAAGCTTCCAGTTTGGGAGGAAGTATTAACAGGATGAATACAGGTAAGAAGCTCTGCTTAACACTGAGAAAAGATAATAGGTGATATCTCTGCAATTTCAGACAGCTGTATTTTGGGGTCGTCCATTTCTAATACATTGTCAGCTCCAAAGATATTTGCCACCATGTCTGTTCTTCCTGTTGAAATCAGTTATGAGCACTGTTCATTGAAATTGTAGACTACTTTCAACTGAAACACAGTAATTTTTTCCAATGAATCCTCAAAAGTCTGGTTTGAAGTACCACATGCATAGAAGGTTGGACATCTTAGATCTCTTTAACCTGAAATGCTTCATCTTGCCTTCAGTTTCCCTCATCAGTTTTTGTAAGTTGTATTTTCATTTTTCCAAATTATTTTAGCCTAGCTGGTGCATGAATGACTCAGAGGAGGAAGCTGATCTAAATTGAATTAGCCAAACACACCACTCTTATGTGAATAAAGCAAATAAAATCTATCATATCTTTTTAATTGATTCTGTTTAAAGTAGTGAAATAATTGTAGCTTTAAAAAATTACGACAAAAAGCAAAACTCTTTAATTTTTCTTCTTCAGGTTTTTGGGGCATTTGGTATTTCAGGTATTTAAATCCCTATTTGATTTGAAGTAATTTGTAGATTTTTACATTTGATTTTACCAGTTATAATTAAACATGCTGATGTTTCTAGATTGTATCTATGTATTTCTTTTCTGAATCTTTCTTGGCCTCAGGTTTTCATGTGATATTAAAAGTTCTGCAGTGCAGTACTTGTTTTGCATATATTGTTATGAAAATGTTTGAGAAAAATATCTGTTGAATCTCATCACAAAGAAACATTTTGGACCTTCAGAAACTGGTTTTAAAAATTAAAATCTAAAATTTTGGAGGTAATTTAATCGGAAAATTGTTCTTTAAAGATTCAAGATGGGAGGATGTTGTAAATAGCTAAACTACATGAGAACCTTTATATACATTCCACATGTCTCCTTCCTGGCTCTTCTACAGGTTTTTTTGCTTCTTTTGTAGCTGCATTAGGATATCATTAGACCTTTTTACCTTTTTTAATTACTGCCATCACTTCCCACCATATGCGTTGCCGCTGCATTATTGCTTTAATACATTAGAGGCATATGTGTGATGGATCTGATCTGTGCATGCTAACTTGTTTAGTGTCCATCTGTGCTGTGACTCTAGACTGTTTTATTTCTATGTATGTTTGTTCCAATTTCTACAGCTTATCCTACAGGTCGGTCAGATGTGTTCCTTCTAATCTTACGGGCAAGTCTTGTAGGTGACTTTCCACATTTGGAACATGAATCTATCCCAATTTATTAAGTTGTGCTCTTACTGACTTCAGTAAGAGCTTTGTGTAGCACCAGAGCCCTAGACTTACTGCACAGAAATCAAGAGTGAGTATATTCACAGGTCCCAGTTGCTAACAGAATAATTCAGAAATAAAACAGAATAATTCCAGCTGAAGTGCTACGTTTTGAAAGCTTTGAAAAACCTTGAAAAAGCTGAGATGTCATGGAGAAGCAGAAATTGCCCTTCTAAGGGTACAATTTGCACCTCTTTTCCATTCACCTTTAATGCAGCATGGTGCTGACAGTTGCCTGAATCTAGGTATATATAGGGTTTGGGGATTTCTAGCATCTTCAATGAAGTTCTGGTTTTCATCAAGCCGTGATCAGGCTTGATCTTGAATGTGACCCATCAGTGCACACCTTTGTCATCTGTTGATAGTATGGGAGATCCATTGTGTTGAGCTCAAGTGTTCCTTGTCATTTTTTTCAGGGCCCATAGGATCAAGTGGTCTAAGTAGTGGTTATATCCCTTCATTTCTGAAGAAGGAAGTAGGCTCTGCTGGGCAGAGGGTTCAGTTAGCACCAGTTGTGGATCCATCTTCTAGTAAGTATAGTACCAAAGTTCTCTTGGTCCCTTGCTTTTTACTCTGGTAATGCTGTATATATGCAGCATGGAACTACATGTCTTTGCTTTATTTGTAAATATATGATTGACTGGTACTACAGTTTGTAACCTTGCAGAGCTTCATATGCAGATGGATTTGGTTTGTTTTCACTTTGTTTATGAAATAGGTGGTTTTATCCACAGCATATTTGAGTGGGACCTAGAGGTTGGTGTGAGAGCTGACACAGAATTCCCACTTGTCAAATCAATGATAGAAATACTCCTTGTCTGGTAGACTTTTAGGAATTAGATCCACTGTTGTTTCACATCAGCAAATTCTATTAAAAAAGGAGGCTTATTTCCTGAAGAAATAAGGATCTGGACCTGCATCCAGTTGCTTTTCAGTGTGGTCAGCTGCTCACTGAACCTTGGTTGCACAGTATTTTCTTTTGTCCCTTAGATTATGCTTCTCTGAAATCAGTAAGACCCCATCTTGGACGGCCATCATTCAATTCACCTACAAAAAGCACACCAAGATTAATGCCTCTCCCACCACCAGCTCAGCCGATCCACGGGCGTGTTGACTGGTTGGCAAAGTATGGTGCTCACCGGTGACGTGTGGAAATGCTCTCTGAACCAGTGGATGTGTCCCCTGAAATGGTGGCTAACATGAGACAATTTGGTACTGTTTTCTATACCTGTAAATTTAAAAGAAACAGATCTTCTATGAACGAGACCTTTTTTTACTTTTATTTGTATTAATTTGAATGCAATCTTGTACCTTTTTGTATAAAATTGTTTTGTTATATAATTGGGTCCAGTTATTTTCATAAATCTGATACATTTTGTATATATGGCTTCAGGGGTTTGGCATTTTTATATGATAAATTTTTTATAATTTTTTAAAATTTAACTTTTCCTTTATTAGATTCAACTTTTTTATAGAAGTGGTTTTAAAAAAGCAAAGTGGTGCAATATTGCAATGGAAGAGTGGAAGAGTTACTGAGGAAGGGGCATTCATTAGACATTTTCTGAAGTTTATGTGCCAAATGAGGCTGTATAATTTCATCGATGCCATGTCTTGATGCCATGCTTCTGTTGTCCTGTTTGCTTTGTACTGACATCAAAGGGATTAGTGACTAACAGTCTAAACTCTCCTGTGCAGTCACTGAGAGCCTGCTGAAAGTCAGGAAAGTGGAAGGCTATTTTTTTTTAAGTTTATTTTGCCTTTAAAAGGTTTTTGTTGGACTGCTTTCCAGCTCCATTCTTTTGCTTTTACCAAATTGGGGGAATCTTCTTGTTTAGTACAGGGTGAATACTATTCTGCAGATCTGTTTTCTGACACAGCACTCTTGTCCTACTTTAAAGTTGCTTCTTGTAGTTGTTTACTATGAAATAGAATGTGGACCTACCTCTGTTAAATTCATTTATATGTTCTAATGATTTCTAAGGACAAAAATCAGATTCTGTTAATTCTTCTTTTGTTGTTGGGAATATAAGATGTGAAGACATATTTAAGACAGTATTAACAATTACAAAGCTGGTTTCAAAGAAACAAACTATTAGTGATATGCCAGCAACAGAGTTTAAGGAAACAATATCTATGCAGCTGACTTAATTTTCACAACTGTTTTAAATCACATTTGGAAAAAAAAATCCAGAGGAGATACGTTAAGGTTGAATCTTACTTCAGTTGTTCTTCGCTTCAATATTCTTCACGTTGTAGGTGAAGATGTATGTCAGTTCTGTAAATTAGGCCCCCGGGCTCTACTGGACAAAATGGGACCTTACGTGGTCCTGCAAAAAAGTGTTCTAAAATTGTAGTTGATTTCACAGAAACTGATACAGCTCTTTGAAGAGCAGTTTAACTCAGTTTATAAGAGAAAATAAGTTATCAGGTTATAGAAAAGAGAAAATAGCCCCATAGTCTAGTTTAATTCTGCACTGGAAAGGAGTGCCTGAGTCCAGCCATCAGCAAAAGATTCATTTAGATCACAGCCAGCATTTGGCTGTTCCTGCACTTCCTTCCACAGAAGGAAGATAAAACAGTACAGTGCTGTGGGAGAACCTCTTTTTATAGTTGCATTTTGGAACAGCACCATCAAAGTTGTGTGCTGTGAAAATGTATCTTTCTGCAGGACGGTACAGAAATGCTCAGTTTATAAGCAGATCTGGCAAATCATGCATTTGTGAGATTTAAATCCAGTCTAAAGGGATCAGAGCAGGTATAGTTCTCGGCATCTGGCTATTTCGAAGGGGCGGGATGGTTCAGAGGGGGCAGCCGCTGTGGACTGGTGACTGGCAACGCATGCTGGCCTTTTCAGTACATCCCATGGAGAACATGTGGACTTCCAGGAAACTGTACTCTGGAGTAGGCTGCTGGCTCGGTGCTATGGGAGGAACCATGAAGAGGACTGGTCACTGTTTGCTTTTACCGCCTCAGTCCACAGTGAGGCAGTACAAGACAGAAAGGGAGCCAAAGGTTCTGTGCATTAAAAACAAGTATGCATGCAAGATTTACAGATGCCACGGACATGTTCTGTGTCCCTGTACTCTGTTATTTGTTCATAGCAAGTACTGACTCCAAACCATGCCTAACTGCATCCAAAGCAGTGATGCCAATGCACAGCAGTAAAATAAAGCAGCCATTTCATTTCTGAAGCACACGCTGGTGGTGTCTTTGGGTAAGTGGAAAGGGAAATACGTATATTTGTGTTAGAACTGGAAAGATAGTTGTTTCTCTTGGTGGAAATAAATATCTGTATTTATGTCTAGATTCATTTAATTTATTTTATCACTGAATAATTGATCTCAAGAGGGAACACCGTGAACTATCCTAGGTGTCCCTAGACCTAAGCAGGCAATTTAACTAGTCTGTTCCATGCGATTAATTCCTCCTAGTGGAAGCAGGAGACAAATTAGTAATGAAACCAGACTGCTGAGGCTTGGATTCACTGTACATAACCACAGGCACCACCTAAGCATAAGCTTCTTTGTTGCGAGCTGACTTTAAACCCGTGGTGAGTGAGAATCATCTCAAGAGAAATTCAGCTCACCTGAGAACTTAGTAGTTCTCTGGAGTTGCTTGGGTCTCTCCACTAAGGATTGGGACTACTTGATGTGTTTAATAGAGGATCAGTCTGAACCTGGCCTATAATCTCTGAGCCTTTATCAGCCCTGCAGTGATTTTCTTGACTCTAGCATTCAGGTTTTGGTCAGTCCAGCAAAAAAGATTAGAGAAAGAAGTAGTCCTTTTTTTGACATCCCAAATTAAAGCCTCTTTAGGAAAAAAATCTAATAATCTTGATATTCAGAATCACTTCTGCTAATTTTAATTTAGGACAGAAAATTAGCTAAGTATAAGGGCAGCGTTTGTACCCTTTACTCAAGCAATTTCCTACTGAAGTTGGAAAAAGTTCTTTTTGAGTAGGGACTGAGTTGACTGAGCTATGTATTTTTACTGTGCTGTCTCAATGTGCAATACAGATAATGGAAAAGATGTAGGTCTTTACTGAAATCTGGACAAGCAGCATATCTGAGAATTTATCATATATAACCTACTTTGCGTTTTAATATCTACCACCATCTTTATGCAAAATATTTTTAGAATTCTGTTTACATTTTCTCAGGCTTATGCATAGCACGTAATAATGACTGTAGGAAATAAACGAACCTGACAGTGGACTCATTCACCTCTGAACTGCAGATTTTTATAGAAGTATTGTGTAAGTGCTGTAATGTTAGCAACCCCCC